TTCCTAAAAAATTCCAACTCTTTATCGAAATACCTCCCTTACCTAAGTATGAGGTCACTACACAAGACTCATTCCAGGTCGTAAGAAAAGAAAATTCCTCTAACACTCGGACAGTCTTGACCACGATTTCTGGAACATATTTTTAGGGGATTTGTGGCGGGGTGGTCGAGCCATCGGGGCGTCGGCAAAACTTCCAAAGCGATTCCTTTTCCAAACAGTAAAAGCCATGTATCCATCCACCCCTTTCTGTGTGGCCAGGTAGGTGGATACTGGGGTGGTGGTGGTAGTAAAGTGGTACTGGTGGTAGTATTATAGTGGTACTGGTGGTGGTAGTAGAGTGGTAATGGTGGTAGTATAGTGGTACTGGTGGTAGTATTATAGTGGTACTGGTAGGAGACAGTGGTACCAGGAGTAGAGGTACTGGTGGTAGAGCAGTGTACCTGGTGGTGGTGGAGAATGGTACTGGAGGCAGGAGCATAGTGGCACTGGAGGCAGTGACGCAGGCAGAGATAGTACTGGTGGTAGGAGCATAGTGGTACTGGTGGGAGTAGGTACTGGTGGTAGGAGTATAGTGGTGGCCTGGTGGCAGGAGCATGTGGTACTGGAGGTAGGAGGCGGTGACCGAAGTGGAGCATAGTGGCACTGGCGTAGGAGTATAGGTACTGGTGGTAGGAGCATAGTGACTGGAGGTAGGGAGTATAGTGGGTACTGGTGGTAGGGAGTATAGGTGGTAGGAGCATAGTGGTACTGGTGGCAGGAGTGGGTGGCTGGTGGTGGGAGTAGTGGCACTGGTGGTAGGAGCAGGGACTGCAGGTGGGAGATAGTGGATGGGAGGCACGGGAGATGGGAGGTAGGAGTAAGGTGGGACTGGTGGTAGGAGTATAGTGATGCAGGTAGAAGTATAGTGGTACTGGTGGTAGGAGAGTGTGACTGCAGGTAGATATGGTACTGGTGGTAGGGAGAGAAGGCACTGAGTGCAGGGATATGCACTGGTGGTAGGAGCATAGTGACTGCAGGGTGAGAAGCATAGTGGTACTGGTAGGAGTATAGGACTGCAGGAGGTGGCAATGGGATGTGCAGTGAGCATAGTACCTGGAGGCAGGAGCAGTGGTACTGGTGGTAGGAGTATAGCACTGGTGGTAGGAGTATAGTGGTACTGGTGGCAGGAGCATAGTGGTACTGGTGGTAGGAGCATAGGTAGGAGTGGTACTGGTGGTAGGAGTGGCACCAGGAGTGGTACTGGTAGGAGCATAGTGGTACTGGAGGTAGGAGATAGTGGTACTGGAGGTAGGAGTAGTGGTACTGGAGGTAGGAGGCGTACTGGTGGTAGGGAGACAGTGGCACTGGGGTAGGAGATAGTGGTACTGGTGGTAGGAGTATAGTAGCTCGGGAGGTAGGAGTATAGTGGTACTGGTGGTAGGAGCATGTGGCACTGGTGGTAGGAGACAGTGGCACTGGTGGTAGGAGACAGTGGTACTGGTGGTAGAGCATAGTGACTGGTGGTAGGAGCATAGTGGCACTGGAGGCAGGAGCAGTGGCACTGGTGGTAGGGATAGTGGTACCTGGTGGAGTATAGTGGCACTGGAGGTAGGGAGCATAGTGGTACTGGTGGTAGGAGGCAGTGGTACTGGTGGTGGGAGGGACTGCAGTGGTACTGTAGGAGTAGTGGCACTGGAGGTAGGAGACAGGTACTGGAGGTAGGAGTATAGTGGCTGGAGGTAGAGTATAGTGGTACCAGGTAGGAGCATAGTAATGGTGGTAGGAGAGCAGTGGCACTGGTAGGAGTATAGTGGTACTGGTAGGAGACTGCAGGAGCAGTGGCAGTACTCAGTGTAGAGTATAGTGGCACTGGTGGTAGGAGTATAGTGGCACTGGTGGTAGGAGTTAGTGGCATGAGTGCAGGAGTATAGTGGCACTGGTGGTAGGAGATAGTGGTACTGGTGGTAGGAGCATAGTGGCACTGGTGGCAGGAGTATAGTGGTACCGGCGGTGAGCATGAAGTGGCACTGGTGGTAAGGTAGGAGGCAGTGGCATGCGGCACTGGCAGAGCATATGGCACTGGTGGTGAGCATAGTGGCACTGGTGGTAGAGCATAGTGGCACTGGAGGTAGGAGTATAGTGGGTGCCTGGTGGTAGGAGCATAGTGGCACTGGTAGAGCAGTGACTGGTGGCAGGAGTATAGTGGCACTGGGAGGTAGAGGCAGTGGTACTGGTGGTAGGAGCATAGTGGTACTGGTGGTAGGAGTATAGTGGTACTGGTGGTAGGAGTATAGTGGTACTGGTATGTAGTGGTACTGGAGGTAGGAGACAGTGGCACTGGTAGGAGCATAGTGGTACTGGTGGCAGGAGCATAGTGGGCCTGGAGTGAGGAGATAGTGGCACTGGGGTAGGAGCATAGTGCTACTGGTAGAGCATAGTGGCACTGGTGGCAGGAGCATAGTGGCACTGGTGGTAGGAGCATAGTGGCACTGGTGGTAGGAGACAGGCCTGGTAGGAGCAAGTGGTACTGGTGGTAGGAGCATAGGACTGGTGGTAGGAGCAGTGGTACTGGTGGTAGGAGACAGTGACTGGAGGTGGAGTATAGTGGTACTGGTGGTAGGAGTATGAGTGGGAGTGTAGAGGTAGTGGTACTGGTGGTAGGAGGTATAGTGGTACTGGTGGTAGGAGTATAGTGGTACTGGAGGTGAGCAGGTACTGGTGGGAGTATAGTGGTACTGGTGGTAGGAGTATAGTGGCACTGGAGGTAGGAGATAGGACTGGTGGTAGGAGACAGTGGGACTGGTGGTAGGAGCATAGTGGCACTGGTGGTAGGAGATAGTGGTACTGGTGGTAGGAGCATAGTGGCACTGGTGTAGGAGCAGGCACTGGTGGCAGGAGCATAGTGGTACTGGTGGTAGGAGCATAGTGGCACTGGAGGTGGTGGAAGTGCAGTGGCACTGGTGGTGGGAGTATGAGTGGTGCCTGGTGGTAGGAGCATAGTGGACCAGGTAGGAGACAGTGGCCTGGAGGAGCATAGTGGCACTGGAGGCAGGAGTATAGTGGCACTGGTGGTAGGAGTATAGTGGTACTGGAGGTAGGAGCATAGTGGTAGGAGTATAGTGGTACTGGTGGTAGGAGCATAGTGGTACTGGTGGTAGGAGATAGTGGTACTGGTGGTAGGAGTATAGTGGTACTGGTAGGAGGTGAGGCCTGGTGGTAGGAGACAGTGGTACTGGTGGTAGGAGTATAGTGGCACTGGTGGTAGGAGTATAGTGGCACTGGTGGTAGGAGATAGGTACTGGTGGTAGGAGATAGTGGACTGGCAGGAGCAGTGGCACGTGGTGAGCAGTACTGAGGAGCATAGTGGCACTGGTGGCAGGAGCATAGTACCGAGGTGAGCAGTGGCACTGGTGGTAGGAGTATAGTGGCACTGGTGGTGGTGAGCATAGTGGCACTGGTGGTAGGAGCAGTACTGGTGGTAGGAGCATAGTGGCACTGGTGGTAGGAGACAGTGGTACTGGTGGGGAGTATAGTGGCACTGGTGGCAGGAGTGTGGCACTGGTGGTAGGAGTATAGTGGTACTGGTGGTAGGAGATAGTGGTACTGGGTAGGAGATAGTGGCACTGGTGGCAGGAGTATAGTGGACTGGTAGGAGACAGGTACTGGAGGTGGGAGCAGGTGACTGGTGGGAGTATAGTGGCACTGGTGGCAGGAGACAGTGGTACTGGTGGTGAGGAGCATAGTGGTACTGGTGGTAGGAGTATAGTGGCACTGGTGGCAGGGACATAGTGGCACTGGTGGCAGGAGCATAGTGGCACTGGTGGCAGGAGCATAGTGGCACTGGTGGTAGGAGCATAGTGGCACTGGAGGCAGAGCATAGTGGCACTGGAGGCAGCATAGTGCACTGCAGGAGACAGGCACTGGTGGCAGGAGTATAGTGGTACTGGTGGTAAGCATAGTGGCACTGGTGGGCGTGAGTAGTGGCACTGGTATAGTGGCACTGGTGGTGGAGCTGGAGGTAGAGTATAGTGTACTGGTAGGAGCAGTGGTACTGGAGGTAGAGCAGTGGCACTGGTGGTAGGAGATAGGCAGCACTGGTGGTAGGAGATAGTGGCACTGGTGGTAGAGATAGTGGCACTGGTGGTAGGAGCAGTGGCACTGGTGGCAGGAGCATAGTGGTACTGGTGGTAGGAGCATAGGTGGACTGCAGGTAGGAGTAACTGGAGGTAGGAGCATAGTGGCACTGGAGGCAGGAGAGATGGTGGGAGACAGTGGCACTGGAGGTAGGAGAGTAGTGGCACTGGTGGTAGGAGTATAGTGACGGTGTAGGAGTATAGTGGTACTGGTGGTAGGAGACAGTGGCACTGGTGGTAGGAGCATAGTGGTACTGGTGGTAGGAGCAGGGGACTGGAGGTAGGAGTATAGTGGCACTGGTGGTAGGACATAGTGACGCAGGAGCATAGTGGCACTGAGGTAGGAGCATAGTGGCACGGTAGGAGCATATATGCAGGAGATAGTGGCACTGGGACAGTGGCACCGAGTGAGACAGTGGCACTGGGGAGGACAGTGGCACTGTAGGAGCATAGTGGCACTGGTGGCAGGGAGTGCAGTGGCACATTGCAGGAGCATAGTGGCACTGGAGGCAGGAGCATAGTGGCACTGGAGAGCATAGTGGCACTGGTGGCAGGAGACAGTGGCACTGGAGGCAGGAGCATAGTGGTACTGGAGTGGCAGGGAGAGCAGTGGCACTGGAGGCAGGAGAGAAAGTGGCACCCTGAGGTAGAGCAGGCACTGGAGGTAGAGCATAGTGGCACTGGTGGCAGGAGCACAGGCACTGGTGGCAGGAGCATAGTGGCACTGGTGGCAGGAGTATAGTGGCACTGGTGGCAGGAGCATAGTGACCGCAAGGTAGGAGCATAGTGGCACTGGGGCAGGAGCACAGTGGCACCGGTGGTGAGCATAGTGGCACTGGTGGCAGGAGCATAGTGGCACCGGAGGCAGGAGCATACAGTGGCACTGGTGGTGGAGGAGCATAGTGGCACTGTGGTAGAGCATAGTGGCACTGCAGGCATGGTGACTGGCAGGAGCATAGTGGTACTGGAGGTAGGAGCATAGTGGCACTGGTGGTAGGGAGCATAGTGGCACTGGAGGGAGCATATGCACTGGTGGCAGGAGAAGTGGCATGGGGGAGCATAGGACTGGTGAGCATAGTGGCCTGGTGGTAGGAGTATAGTGACTGCAGGTAGGAGCATAGTGCACTGGTGGTAGGAGCATAGTGGCACTGGTGGCAGGAGCATAGTGGTACTGCAGGAGCATAGTGGCACTGGAGGTAGGAGCATAGTGGCACTGGTGGCAGGAGCATAGTGGCACTGGTGGTAGGAGACAGGCACTGGAGGCAGGACATGTGGCACCGTGGCAGGAGATAGTGGCACTGGTGGCAGGAGATAGTGGCACCGGTGGCAGGAGTATAGGGCACTGGTGGTGGAGCATAGTGGCACTGGTGCAGGAGCATAGCACTGGTGGCAGGAGCACAGTGGCACTGGAGGCAGGAGCATAGTGGCACTGGTGGTAGAGCATAGTGCACTGGTGGCAGGAGCATAGTGACTGGTGGCAGGAGCATAGGCACTGGAGGCAGGAGACAGTGGCACTGGTAGGAGCATAGTGGCAGTACTGGTGGTAGGAGTGCAGTGGCACTGGTAGAGCATAGTGGCACTGGTGGCAGGAGTGTAGTGGCACTGGGAGGAGCATAGTAACTGGTGGTAGGAGTATAGTGGTACCTGGTAGACATAGTGGTACTGGAGGCAGTAAGGCAGGGAACTGGTAGGAGCATAGTGGCACTGGTGGTAGAACATAGTGGTACTGGTGGTAGTGAGCAGAAAGGGCACTGGTGGCAGGAGCATAGTGGCACTGCTGGAGAGCAAAGTGGCACTGGTGGCAGGAGCATAGGCACTGGTGGTAGAGTATAGGGCACTGGTGGTAGGAGCATAGTGCACTGGTGGGAGCAGTGTGACTGGGAGGTATATGTGGGTACTGGTGGTAGGAGACAGTGGCACTGGGAGTGGGGTGGGGAGAGCAGGTGGTACTGGAGGTAGGAGTATAGTGGGACTGGTGGTAGGAGCATAGTGGCAATTGGGGTAGAGTATAGTGGCACTGGTGTAGGAGTAGTGGTACTGGTGGTGGGAGTATAGTGGTACTGGAGGCAGGAGAAAGATACTGGTGGTAGGAGCATAGTGACTGGTGGTAGGAGCAGTGACTGGAGGTAGGAGACAGTGGTACTGGTGGCAGGAGAAGGGCACTGGAGGTAGGGAGCATAGTGGTACTGAGGCAGGAGACAGTGGCACTGGGCAGGAGATAGTGGCACTGGTGGTAGGAGCATAGTGGCACCTGGAGGTAGGAGACAGTGGCACTGGTGGTAGGAGCAGTGGCACTGCAGGAGCACAGTGACACTGGTGGTAGGAGCATAATGGCACTGAGGTAGGAGCAGGGCACGGGAGGAGCATAGGGCACTGGCAGGAGCAGTGGCACTGGAGGCAGGAGCATAGTGGCACTGGTGGTAGGAGCATAGTGACTGCAGGAGCATAGTGGCACTGGAGGCAGGAGCATAGTGGCACTGGTGGTAGGGAGATGGTAGGAGCATAGGTACTGGTGGTAGGAGCAGTGGCACTGGTGGTAGGAGTAGTGGCACTGTAGGAGCATAGTGGCACTGGTGGTATACAGTGGCACTGAGGTAGGAGCATAGGGACTGGTGGCAGGGAGAGACAGTGGTACTGGTGGTAGGAGCATAGGCACTGGAGGTAGGAGCATAGTGGCACTGGTGGTAGGAGCAGTGGCACTGGGAGGCAGGAGCATAGTGGCACTGGTGGCAGGAGCATAGTGGCACTGGTAGGAGCAGTGGCACTGGTGGCAGGAGACAGTGGCACTGGTGGAGGGATATAGTGGCACTGGTGGCAGGAGCATAGTGGCACTGGAGGAGCATAGTGGCACCGGTAGAGCATAGCGGCACTGGGGCAGGGGTAGGAGCATGGTGGCACCTGGTGGCAGGAGCATAGTGGCACTGGTGGTGGAGACAGTGGCACTGGTGGTAGGAGCATAGTGGCACTGGCAGGAGCATAGTGGCACCGAGGTAGGAGCATAGTACCGGTGGTAGGAGCATAGTCACTGCAGGAGCATAGTGGTACTGGTGGCATATGTGGCACCAGGAGCATAGTGGCACTGGAGGTGACATAGTGGCACTGGTGGCAGGAGCATATGGCACGATGCAGGAGACAGTGGCACTGGTGGCAGGAGCACAGGCACGGAGGCAGGAGCATAGGCGACAGTGGCTGGTAGGAGCATAGTGGCACTGGTGGTGAGCATAGTGGCACTGTGGCAGGAGACAGTGGCACTGGTGGCAGGAGCATAGTGGCACTGGTGGCAGGAGCATAGTGGCACTGGTGGAGTGATAGAGGAATGGTGGTAGGAGCATAGTGGCACTGGTGGTAGGAGAGTAGTGGCACTGGAGGCAGGAGATAGTGGCACTGGTGGTAGGAGCATAGTGGCACTGGTAGGAGCATAGTGGCACTGGTGGTAGGGACAGTACTGTGGTAGGAGGAGGCACTGGTGGTAGAGTATAGTGGCACTGGTGGTAGGAGCATAGTGGCACTGTAGGTAGGAGGAAAATGGTGGCAGGAGCATAGTGGTACTGGTGGTAGGAGATAGTGGCACTGGTACTGGCATAATGGTACTGGTGGTAGCATAGTGGCACTGGTAGCATTATAGTGGTACTGTGGCAGGGAGAGTAGTGGCACTGGTGGCAGGAGCATAGTGGCACTGGTGCAGGAGCAGACACTGGTGGTAGGAGCATAGTGGCACTGGTAGGAGCATAGTGGCACTGGGCAGGTATAATGGCACTGGTGGCAGCATAGCACGGTGGAGAATAGTGGCAGGCAGGAGCATACGGTGGCAGAGCACAGTGGCACTGGTAGGAGCATAGTGGCACTGCGGTAGGATAGTGACTGGTGGTAGGAGCATAGTGGCACTGGTGGCAGGATATGGCACTGGTGGTAGGAGTAGTGGCACTGGTGGTAGGAGCATAGCAGTACTGGGGTAGAGCATAGTGGCACTGGTGGTGGTAGCATAGTGGCACCGGTGGTAGGAGCATAGTGGCACCGGTGTAGGAGATAGTGGCACTGGTGGTAGGAGCATAGGCGTACTGGTGGCAGGAGCATAGTGGCACTGGTGGTAGAGCATAGTGGCACCGGTGGTGAGCATAGTGGCACTGGTGGCAGGAGCATAGTGGCACTTGCAGTACAGTGCACGTGGCAGGGCAAGGCACCGGTGGCAGGAGACAGTGGCACGGCAGGAGCATATGGCACCAGGCAGGGACATAGTGGCACTGGTGGCAGGAGCATAGTGGCACTGGTGGCAGGAGCATAGTGGCACTGGAGGCAGGAGCATGTGGCACGGTAGGAGCATAGTGGTACTGGTGGTAGGGAGCATAGTGGCACTGGTAGGAGCAGTGGCACTGGTGGTAGGAGCATAGGTGGTAGTATAGTGCACTGGTGGCAGGAGCATAGTGGCACTGGTGGTAGGAGCATAGTGGCACTGGTGGTAGGAGCATAGTGGCACTGGTAGGAGCATAGGTACTGGTAGGAGCATAGTGGCACTGGGAGGTAGGACAGTGGTACTGGTAGGAGTAGTGGTACTGGTGGTGCATAGTGGCACTGGTGGTAGGGCATAGTGGCACTGGTGGCAGGAGTATGCGGCACTGGTGGCAGGAGACAGTGGCACTGGTGGCAGCATAGTGGCACTGGTGGCAGGAGCATAGTGGCACTGGTGCAGGAGACAGTGGCACTGGTGGTAGGAGCATAGTGGCACTGGTGCAGTACTGGCAATGGTACTGGTGGTAGGACAGTGGCACTGGTGGTAGCAGTATAGTGGCACTGGCAGGAGCATAGTGGCACTGGTGGCAGGAGCATAGTGGCACTGGTGGTAGGAGCATAGTGGTACTGGTGGTAGGAGCAATAGTGCACCTGGTGGTAGGAGCATAGTGGTACTGGTGGTAGGAGCATAGTGGTACTGGTGGGAGCATAGTGGCACTGGTGGCAGGAGTATAGTGGCACTGGTGGTAGGAGTAGTGGTACTGGTGGCAGGAGCATAGTGGCACTGGTGGCAGGGTATAGTGGCACTGCAGTACAGTGGTAGCAGGTGCATAGTGGCACTGGTAGAAGTGGCACTGGTGTAGCAATAGTGGCACTGGCGGTAGGAGCATAGTGGCACTGGTGGCACTGCAGTATAATGGCACTGGTGGTATAGCGTACTGGTGGCAGGATATAGTGGCACTGGTGGTAGGAGCATAGTGGCACCTGGTGGTAGGAGCATAGTGGCATTGGTGCAGGAGCAGTGGCACTGGAGGTAGGAGCATAGTGGCACTGGTGGTGGAGCAGTGGTACGGTGGTGGTGGAGCATAGTGGCACTGGTGGTAGGAGTATAGTGGCACTGGTGGTAGTATTATAGTGGTACTGGTGGTGTATAGTGGCAACTGGTGGTAGGAGTATAGTGGTACTGGTGGTAGAAGTATAGTGGTACTGGAGGTAGGAGTATGGTGGTACTTGGTAGGAGGTAGGTACTGGTGGTAGGAGTATAGTGGTACTGTGGTAGGGAGTATAGTGGTACTGGTGGTAGGGAGAGCAGTGGTACTGGTGGTAGGGAGCATAGTGGTACTGGTGGTAGGAGTATAGTGGTAATTGGTTGTAGTATAGTGGTACTGGTGGTTGGAGTATAGTGGTACTTGCAGGTAGTGTACTGGTGATAGTATTATAGTGGTACTGGTGGTAGTATAGTGGTACTAGTGGTAGGAGATACGAGGAATAATGGAACTAAATGATGAAACCAATAACAAAATAAAATACAGAGAAGGATAGAAAACAAGATGTTGACTAATGAAAGAGGGAAGGAGGCAGCCAAGAAGAAGGAAACAGGAGGAGGAGGAGGAGGAAGAAGAAGAAGAAGAACATGAGGATATGCAATAGTAGGAAGGAGAAGGAGAGGAGGAGGAGGAGGAAGAGGAATAACAAGAGGAAATGAAAAGAAAGGAAAAGAGAGACAAGGAGGAGAAGGAGGAGAAAAGAAGAGGAAGAGCAGGAAGAGGGAAAAAATGAGGAAATGAAATAGTAGGAAGGAGGAGGAGAAAGAAGGAGAAAGGGAGGAGGAGGAGGAGAAGAGGAATAACAAGAGGAAATGAAATAGCAAAAAGGGAAAGACGAGTACAAGGAGGAGAAGGAGGAGAAAAAGAAGAAGAAAAAATACCTGAGATGTAGCCAGCATCTTGCCAGGTAGCAGAGCCCAGGAGAGTTAAGACGCAGGTATAAAGAGGCCAATTAGCCACACTTGTCCACACACATCAGGTCTCACCCAACCACACCCATTATTATGTTGCCTCTCTCTACTCAACAGTCTATTATATACATGCTAATAAAATTATTCGTGAAAGGGTTAAAAAAAATATTTATATTAAAGTACCTATATATATATATAGACTCATCATCATCATCATCATCATTATCATCATTATAATCAAGAGAAACGACAGTAAAATCATTATGGGAATTGTATCACTAATGTCAACCAATAATTACAGCTACTTCAATATCTTAGCGTCTTCATTATTTCTTAAACACAGCATCAACCACAGTAGCTTTACCATGGACGCAGAACATTCACTGATAACAATAACAGCAGTGATTCTAACCACAGGAATAATAACAACAGCAGTGATTCTAACCACAAGAATAATAACAACAGCAGTGATTCTAACCACAGGAATAATAACAATAACAGCAGTGACTCTTTAATCTTCACAACCATAGCAACGAAAAGGTATCAGCCATATTGTTTGTTGTTTGAATTACCGAACCCCAGATTGCTATATTGAAGGCGTGGATTTTATTAAGTTAAATTAGGATGTGTTGAGGGTTAGGTTAGGTTAGAGGTTGACTTTGTTAGGTTGATATAGGTTAGGATAAGTTAGATTAGGGGTGCATTAGGTTAGGTTTGGTTAGGGGTGGATTTGGTTAGGTCACATCAGGTTAAGTTAGGGTAAGTGAGGTTATGTTAGCTTGTGTTTGGGGTTCGTTCGACTAGGTTGGGTCAGGGTAGGTTAGGTTGGGGTTAATTGCTAGGTTAAGTTAGGTTAGGTGAGAAGTTGATTAAGTTAGATTAGGTAAGGTGAGGGGGTGATTAAGTTAGATTAGGTTAAGTTAGGTTAGAATGGAGCTTTGTTAGGTTAGTTTGAGTATATTTTGTCAGGTTAGAAACTGAGGAAAAAGGAAAAAAATAGCGTACTGTAGAAACCATTGAGAATCTATTTTCGCCGTAACTTAAGTAAATCAGACACTACTGTACATCATCTCTGTAGTTTGGGAGCAAAATTAACACACGAACTTTTGAGAATCCATCATTATATCGTAACTTAATTAAGCGATGCAATAGAAACGATATCACCTCTTTACTTTCTGGGGTAAAATTTAACATGCATATACTTTGGGGAATCCATCTTTGATCCGGAGATGGAGTGAGAAACACATCGTCCCCATTGCATCTCAAATTACGACGAACAACATTCATTTAGTGTATACGAGCCTTTGAACATCCAGGACCACAGCAGTAGACAGCCTCGCCTGAGGAACTGACCGAGTGAGTGATCAGAGGAAAACATCTATCAACGGAGTGGTTTACAGGCAGAGAATTCGGTACAGTTAGGGTCAGGGAGTGAGGCCGAGCGTACAGGAATTCGCAAATGGAAATCCTGGAGAATACCGGGAAGGTTAAATTTACCTGGGTCAAGTTACCGCAGTTAAGTTGTATTCAATAAGCTTAGGTTAACAACATTACATTTTAGGTGTTTATACAGATTACATTTAAAATACATTCTGTACTTGGGGCCAGTGTAAGAATATTTGTTATACCTCTTTTAGTGAAATATTTTCTTTCTCTAAGTTTGGCTCTTTTTCTCTCACTCTCTCATTCCTACAACACCTTTTCCTTATCCAAAGAAATATGTGGCCAAGATTCCAACTTGTAATGGATCCTTCTTCGCTTTGTCACGCACACAACCCCTTCTCCTTATCCCAAAATAATACAATGGCCGGGACTCCAGTTTGTAACACATCCTCTCTCTCATTCTGTTATCCCTTATCCTGGGGGGAGAAAGTGGTTAAAACCCACCATCGTTTTTAACAGGTCCAAGACGGTGATTGTTCCCAGGCAAGAAGGGTTGGTATATAGAGGAACGATGGTTATTGTTCCTGGGCAAGAAGGGTTGGTGGTGGTGTGTTTACTGTTTATATTAAGGGTGTACCTGTTTGCCTCTCTTACCTGGAGATTCCGTATTTTGAGAAATTAGGCGATGTCTGAGTTTTTTTTTAGAATAATCTTATATTTTTATACAAGTTAGTCATTGATCGATTATAAGAAATCTCGTAGTTTGACAAATTTAAGATATAATTTTCGGAAAATTATTACTTTCATAATTATAAATGTATTAAATTTTCTAGTTATTACATCTTTTAGTTATTTTACTTTCTACCTATGATCATTCCGTTCATAATTTTTGCTTATATATTAATTGCATCCGACTTAGTTTAGATACCTACCACAATTGACCGAAGATGACGAGTTTTGAGAATGTGAACGAAAACATTCTTGATCGTTCCTTGGAGATAATAACACAAGAATAATTACCATATCCCTCGTTGTTGTTATAATGTTATTACCGCCCTTCAACAACTAAGGTCTTTAAGCGCGTAATAAGGTAAGTAATAACATCTCCCGTCATCCTTATTGATTCGTACTATCGTTCCTTTAAAGTAAATCACCTTAGAACTATTACAAGATTCAGACGTAAACAAAGGTTCATCGTTCCTTTCATCATCGAGTATACGCTATTGCAAGACTCGAACGAAAATATTTGTATAATCATTCCTTTAGGATTTTCCATCGTTTCACTTAATATCGAGTAGGCATCGTCGAGCATAACACACACACAGGAATACGGAGCCCAAAATCCGAACACTTGGCGATCCATCCTTCGCTAAAATAGTAACGACAACGACTAGAACGGCGAAACTGTAATGTATAACACTTACCTTACAAAGACGAGAGCGAGACGAGATCACCTCCCTAAAAACTGTCGCGAGTTTTCTGGCGAGGATGAGACATCAAAGGAGAGAGACTTTTATGTCTCTTTCGCGCGTTTCTTTGTGACTCGCGGGGAGGAGGATATTGGGGACACAAAGACAGCTGATGGGGAAATAAGGGGGGGGGTGAGAAGGGGAGGGTGAGGAGAAGGAGGGGGTGAGGAGATGGGAGAGGTGAGGAGATGGGAGGATGAGGCAGGAGGGTGAGGAGATGGGAGAGGGGTGGGGTGAGGTGGGAAGTGATCGAAAGGAACCTGGGAGAAGAGGAGGGTGGAAGACGAAAAGAGGAAAAATATCAGGGAAGTGAGGAGGAGGCGGAACTGGGGAGAGAAAAGTCGGTGTGAGAGAAAAAGGAGAGTAAGGAAGGAGGTTATGTAT